TTAATTCTTATGAACGTGTATGGTTCTGAGAGCTGCAACTTTAAATTACATTCTATGAATTCTTTGCACGTAACAAGAATCTCGTAAACGATGCTATTTTTTGAGAAATAAAAACGAATGTATCGTACTTGTATTTGCAAAACAATAGTGATCATGAGAAGAAAAAATAAAAACCCAAAGATTTTTTTGTGACGAATTAACATTTTGTGTATCAAAAATACTTGAATTGGATGATTAAATGCTGGTCATGATACTATTTTAGATATTGAGTGGTATAAATAATGCCAGATGGATCTATGGTATGCTTCACAATTGCAAATAACAAAGAAAAAATGAGCAAATGGAATCTCTTCAGGAGAATGCGAAGCGATGTTTCCATTGTTCAAACTATCAAGAATGATGACACGTACTTGGAGTTATGTGCATTGGTCGAGCGAATGAAGAAAAGCACGTGGAAACGCTCAGATGTTAACTTCGAAGGAGATGCACGTTCTTTTTCAAAACTCAACAATTTGGAACAAAACATTATTTTCATGACCTCTGGTTTCTTCTTAACGATCGATAGCGTGGTGATGGACTCGCTCAACAACTCACTCGTGAAAGATCTCGAGCTGCTCTCAAGGAAGAACAAGCAATTAAAAAAAGCTCTTGAATTCTACGTAGAACAAAATCGCCACGAAGAGGTTCACGATGAGTTCTACAAAGACATGGGCAAGACACACTTTCCACATTCTTATGATACGGTGCTTAAACGATGCCATGAAGACTTTTTAGAATTCAAGAAGGTGTTTGATTTCTGTCGACGATTCCAACAACGCAAACGACCTCTTGGTGAGCGGCTCTTCGCCTATGCCTTGATCGAATGCATCGTGTTCTTCCCATTTTTTGCCGCAATAATCCGTCATCGATTTAGCGGAAATATTCCGAGCACTGTATCTGGCAATCACTGGGTTTGTAACGAAGAGGCCATGCACGTCCTCGGCCACTCGTGTATTTTCAAGCTCGTGGGTGGTGTGAGTGATTCGCAGGCCAAGAAGATATGCGATGAACTGGTCTTTCTTGTCAAAGACATGTGGACATCCCGTATCTTAAGATACGGTGAGAATGATGTGAATGGGTTCACACTCGTGATGGTCTGTGAATACATTGATGATCTTAGCGAGTTCATGCTCGGACTGACAGGATTCAAAGAACCACGTGTGATGAAAAGCCCATTTCGCTACATGAACTACCTACAGTCATACACAAGAGCAAACTTTTTTGAAACACGAGTCATCGAGTACGATGCTCTTCACGATGTGAATTACCATGATGGGGTTTTTAACAATAGTAAAGAATTGAAAGCATGTAAAGAATATTTTTATTAAAATAAAATTTATTTTTGCAAGTTACAAATTTGTTCACGTAAATTGTTAATTGTATTGTTCATGTGCCTCAATCTATTCTCTTGCTCGATGAATTTCTCCTCGTACGATGCTTTAACATCCTGATTTCGCTCATACTTTCTCTCAAGCAGAATCTTTGCGACCAATTTCTCTTTCTCCCATTTCATCATCTCCACTTCCGACTTGTATTTTTTCTCGATTTCTCTCACTTCTTGGTCGAAATAGATCCGTTCTCTTCCGATGCTTGCGAAGAGCGATTTTGCAACTTCATTGATCTCTGTTGCTTCTCGATCCCTCAGGAGAACCTGAATGTACTTGTACAGGTTATGGTTCGTGTGATACTCCGTAACCCTTCTTTTTCTCTGCAAACACTTGATACAATCCTCACGAACACATGCATGTTGAGATTTCCTTGGCATGTTCTCTTTTATTTTCTTTTGCTCACACATACACCCGCCCGCTTGTTAATTTGAAAAAAAGGCTCAGACAACTCGGACAAACCTTTAATTGGCCTATCTCACGAGTTGAAGTTTTTATAATCACTGCCTTTGAAATCGGCAACCGTGAAATGTGAATGTGTTAAATAGATGTTCATGTTTCACATTTCACACGATTAACAACATGCGTGACTGTGTTGTTTCTATAAATAATCGGCCAGATTCTCTTTGTTCTACCACCCAAAATGTGCTCACTAAACATCCGATTGGAAGATTTGGCCGCATCGTTATCAACCAAAGACGTGTTAAAATTATCACGGATGATTCTTGAGAAAGCCAAATCTGAGAAAGATGGTACAACTTCTACGAGTTCGAGTAATACCATGACTGATCAACCTTCGATGCTTCCAGATGGTTACATGTATATCAGAGATTATCTCAATACGCATGACACGATCGAACCAATCTACTTCTTCAAAAAAAGCAA